CATGAATTTAAAGGAAGACCAGTCATGTGGATTTTGTATAAGCTTAGGTGCAGGAACAGAGCAGATATGAGTTGTACTTAATCAGTATTGTAATTTTGCAAGAGGAGTATGTTGAGGGAAGGAAGCAACAAAGTGCCTGAAATTATGTTGTGGACTGGATGTGTGTGCCCCTGCCCCAAATTTATATATTGAATCCCCAGCTCCCAACGTTATTGTAATTGGAGAAAGTGTCTGTGGGTGGTGATAAAAGTTACATGAGGTTGTAAGGTGGGACCCTATTTTGATAGTAGGATGAGTGCTCTGCTAAGAGGAAGAGACACCAGAGTTTGCACTCATGCTTGCTCGCTCCCTCCCTCCCTGTCTCTGTCTGCCTGCCTGTCTGTCTGTCTGTCTGTCTGTCTGTCTCTCTCTCTCTCTCTCTCTGCCATCATGCCTGTCACTCAGAAGAAAGGCTATGCGAGGACTCTAGGGAAAAGAAGAATATCTGCAAGCCAGGAAGAGTGCTCGCAACAGAAACCAAACCCTGCCAGACCTTAATCTCAACTTCCAGCCTCCAGAACTAAAAAAACAAATTTCTATTGTTTAAGCTACCAAGCCTATGGTATTTTGTTAGGTGGCCTGAGCAGACTAATAAACCAGGAGAGTATGCTGGAGGGAAAAAGGGACAAACTGTGTGAAAGTACATACAAGTAAGTGAATATAACGATAGACCCAGAAGACTAACCAGATAAGGAGAGAAGTGAACATGGTGGTGGGGATGAATGATGGACAACAAAATTTAAGGTCAATGGACTGGAAGCCTCAGTATAGTTGAAGCATTAACTGGAAAATAAGATAGTAGGAGAATAGAATGAATATTTGACAGTGAGATTAGGGAAGAGAGTCTTACTGTTAATGGCAAGGAGTAAGTGTATAACTGTAAACGGAAGACAAATTTATTGAAGGTGAGGAGTCAGAGAACTGAGAAATCAGAATTTTGAATGAGATGTCTGTGTGGGGATTGAAATCACTAAGAATAATCGCTGGAGGACTGATGGAGAGAAAAGAAGACATTCCAAAGGCAAAATATTTAATGAGTGGATAGAGGTATAAGCACATAGATTTGAGTGATATTTGGAAGCAAAATCAACGGGAATCAGTCATGAATTAAAATGAGATGGAAGAAGGTTAGGGAGCGGGAGCCATTAAGGATAACTCAGGATAAATGGTCCTTGACTTAAGCCACTAGGTGAATCATGGTATCATTGGTAAGTTAGAGAAGGCTGGGAGAAGTTCAAGATTTTGATCTTAGATATATTGAATTTGAAGTGACCCTGAGATATCCAAGTGAAGATATTCAGTTGGTGGGCTGATATTTTGGTCTGGTGACAGATGGAGGGTTTGTTATGGAAATAGAAATCTGTGAAGTGTCTGATGATGGTTAATAATTGAATAAATGAGAATAGGGCCATTGCCTAGGAAGTAAGTATGGAAAGAGAAGAAGAAACATCTAGGACTGGGCTTTGAGTAACTTCAGTATTCAATGAGCTGACTGAAGGATGTGAGCCTTCAAGTGAGACTGGTAGGAAGTGGAAAGAGATAAGGAAACCAGGAGAGTATTAAGTCACAGAAGCCAAGAGGAGAGAGGGTTTGTTTGTTTGTTTGTTTGTTTGTTTAAGGAAGGTGTAATCAATAGTGTTGAAAGCTAATGAGGGGCCAGGTAGGCTGAGACCATAAAAATATCATTGGATTTACTGACATGGAGGCCTTAGTAAAAACTTCTTTAGTAGACTAATGGAAGTGGAAGATAAATTAGAGATTGGTGACTAAGGCAGAGATGAGGGAAAGGAGAAATGAGAAAGCAAGATAGACTACCCTTTCAAGAATTTTGGTTTCTAAAGGGAAAGAAAGGTGTGGTCATTGGAGGAATCAAAGAGATTAAGGATGGAGATTATATATATATATCTTTATGATCTTGGTTAATGTATAATTTTATTTTCAAGATGGCAGAAACGCGTCTATTTAAATCTTAATGAAATATATATATAATTGGGAATTTTAATATGAATTTAATATGTTAGTGAGAAAAACATAACTGACAGCAGAAAAGTGGGAGGGGAGGGGATGGGATCCTAACTGCAGGTGATGGGATAGCTGTGAGGACTATCACATCCTCTATTACAACAGGAAGGAAAGGGAGCGGATTACCCCAGGACTCAGTCTGTTATCATATTGCGTTCTGTCTTCTCAGTTTCTGGGTGATCTAATCATTTTACAAGAGAATATTATTGGGGGAGGAGGGTGCAGTACACCTTATGCTCTTAACGCTGCAGTGAGAAACAAGGAGAACACCAGCTCCATCTTCTGCTGCAGGCATGTTTGTAAAGTGTGAATGTGGAAGCAGCTACCACTTGAGCAGATTATGGGAGAATCAGCCTTGTCAGGTTTCAGCAAGGCGGGGCATTGGTTTCAGCAAGGGGGCATTCGGAAAAGACAGAAAATGTATGGGAGTTTGTCATTTCTGAGAACACAGTGAAAGTTTTGGGTAGATCGTAATGACTGAGAAAAGGTTTCTTATTCACAAGAAGGTAATTTTCAACCCCAAATCAAGCAGTTTCAGAAGCAGTTTAGCAGAATGGCGGAGATTATAAAGTGAAAGGCAGACCTTTTGTTCGAGGAAATTGGCTATGAGAGAAAAAAGGAAGATGGAATTCAAATTCTATTTGGCTTTTTGTCTTCTATAGTCTAGCTAATTATCTATGAGATTTCATTTCCGTTTTGTTCCTTAATATAATCTCTATTCAGATAGGTTTCACATACACAATATTTTCTAAAATTTTTTCTTTTATGCCATTGTTCATTCTTTTCCTCCTGCCCAGAATACCCTTCATATTTTTTTTGCCTTTGTGAACACAACTCTTTCTTGAAGACCCGTTAAAATCTACCTCTCATCTTTCTTTTTGTTTTATATTTTTCACCGTAAAATAATGTTTGTTGTAAAACCATTTTTCATATAATTTATATGAAGTTACAAGTTAAAAACCTACATAATACTATCACTCAAATATACCATACTGTGTATTTTTAATTCTTCTAAAATTGATAAATATTTCTGTTCCACTTAATACTTATACTAAGATTTTAATGACTGTCTAATATTCCATTGTATAGATGTACTATAATTCATATAAATATTCTCATATTAGCAAATTTACATGATTTCCATTTTTTTCCTATTGTAATCAAAATCTTTTACATAATTTCTTGTCTACACAGTTAATAACACCTTTAGGGCAAAAATCCTCTAAGTAGATTACTAATTCAAAGAGTATTTATAAATTTTTTTTTTAAAGCTCTAGATATACAGAGGTGGATTATTTTCCAGAAAGGCTATAATTTATCTTCCTATAAGCAGCATTTATGAGTATATAAGACACAACTCCATTGTTAGCATGGAGAATTTTTTAAAATTCTTATTTCCTGGGTAGAAAAATGTCTTCCCATTGGGCTGTATCCACTGGATGTTAGCTATATCCTTTACCCATAAAACATATTATTTAAAATTGAATTGTAAAATATCATTATTATTGTTATTCTAATTATAAAAGTTTGTTACATGCTGACTATACTGCCTTATATTTGTTGTTTTTACCCCATTGTTTTCCCAATAGAATATATTGCACCGATCAGAATCTTTACTGAATTCTTCATTCTTAGAAGTCTCATGTTATAGTCTCACTCTACAATCGTAAAATTTCAGTCACTTGTCTTGTGTGGTTCATTAATAGTTTCTTTCATATTAATCTTTAATTGCCAGAGAGGTAGTACCTTAACAACAAGAGTAGGGAATATATTTATCACCACTTAGATTTGTAATCGAGGTTGTATTATTTGACTTCTAATTTGCTTCTAAGCTTATTATTATGTATATTCTCATCAAAATATATAACAAATTAACTCATTGTGTGTTAATTACCATAACATTCTAGAAGAAGTTATGTATATTTAAAGCCTTAGGGAATAGATTATTTTTCTTGATATCTTTATGCTTATAGTAAGATTTGGGGTGAAAATATCCCTGGAGTATATTTAAATTATTCCAAATCTTTTAGGATTGTATATTAAAGAAACATGGTTTTTTGAGCATGTTATTTGAATCATAGTTAAGTGAAAGGTGGTGTGAACCATCTGATAAATGATTTTTTTTTTTCACATCGTGCAACCCAACTTTTCTGAGCATGCTGGCTTTGCAAGGATTTATAGTACCCTGCCTTCATACTGGAGTTCCTTCAGCTTTCTGTGAAGCATTCCAACTAATCTGGAGGTTAAGGCATTCCTTGATCATGGATAGATCTGATTGCTACTCAGCCCTGGAATTCTTTATAAAATTTCAGAACGTGGGCTAGAAATTGACTTAGGGAATCCAATAAAGTTGCAAGTCTTGGCAGTCATCCAAGCTAAATTTATAGACTGGAAGAAATATGGGCTTTCCATTGTTCTCTTTTTCACCTTTCTGGGGTTTCTTTTGTGTGTATGTGAGTGTGTGAGTGTAAATTTATCATTTTGCTGACATTGGAGTGGAAATAACCATTGAGGGAATCCAGCTAAAGAATTTTCACTTTGGATCTTCCCTGGTCTTTCCGAACTTTGACCCAAACCTGCTCCAAGAGTGAATTTCTTCTCCCTCTGTAGGATGTTGGTGTCATAAAATAAGTTGTTTTTGAAAATGAATCATGCTAGTATAACAGCCGACGTGCACATTTGCCAGCTAGGTACAACTCCCAAATCCCTGTTCTTCCCCTGGCTCTGTGGGAGCCTTCTTTTTGAGGCACAATCTGAGAAAATATAATCAGTTATATCGTTTCTGTTCATTCTATGAAACAGTGATGGGGGTAAGAAAACAAGCTCTGACACCTCTATAGACTCCAGTCTTTTTGTATGTGCCTGAATGCTCTGTAGTACATGGAGATCCAAGGAGTCTTCCCACATCTGATCATTGAAAACGTGTCTTATTCTTACAGAATGGGTTTGCTGTTGTGAGGCCCCCAGGCCATCACGCTGAAGAATCCACAGCCATGTAAGTACCAGGGACTGTTGCCCATCTGCAAGCGCCACGGTTCCTGGCAGTCACCTGCCCCGTGCATGTCTCTGAAGCCTCTAATTGTTAGCAGATGGACTGAGAAATCTTGCAAGGTACTCCCAGAAGCAGATTTATGGCTTCAGAGATCATATAGCATTTTAAAAAATGCTCTGAACATTATTTATAATGGTTTTCCTGGCTGATTTGCTTTCTTATTTCTCTGTTCTTCTCTATTCCGCAGGGGGTTCTGCTTTTTTAATTCAGTTGCAATTACCGCCAAATACTTGAGAGACCAACTAAATATAAGCAAGATATTGATTGTAGATCTGGTATGTATTCCTGGCCAGAGCTGCATTTTCAGTGACTCTAGATAAAAAGGAGTGAATTTGTATTTCTCTGTTAGGTTGTCTTGCTTTAACACTTGCAAACAACTGAAGGGTGCGTTTCCTTTGAATGTGGAAACTCATTAAATTCAGGATTGCAGTTCTGAAACCATAAACATTCACGTTTCACTTTCATGGTGTTAACTGCAATTTAATGAGAAGAAGGCGCAGATCAGGGCAACTTTTATGATCCTTAAATGAATTGATACTTCCACAGTTAAAATAACCCAACAGAACCTGAATTTACTTTTCCCTA